ACCAAAAAGAAGCTCGAGAAAAAAGAAGATTTCGTTAACGTTGTGAACCCATGCACGAAAAAAGAGACTTGCGCATTTGGGGATTCAAACATGAGGGACTTGAAGAGAGGGGATACATTGCAGCTGGAGAGAAAAGGCTACTTTAGATGTGACGTTCCCTTTGTCAGCCCAACACAGCCCATTGTTCTCTTCGCCATACCTGATGGGAAAGCTCAGCCTGTAATGAGGTTTGCAGCTTCAAATGGGAAACAGTAATGAATCCTGAGCATGTGAAAAAAGGAGACAATTGGTGTCTCCTTTCTTTAAGAGTTGATGCATCAAGAAGCATTGTTGCACCAGAAGTTACACAAGTACGTTGGGCCTTAACCTGGCTCCTATTATATTATAATTATTATCATAATTATTGTTGCTGTTATTAAAAATGTGTATATATTAAGTACTCATTTATTACAATAAAGGTTACAATCGCTATAGATAGAGTGGATTGGAGTGTGTAAACCATGCTCAGTAAGTGGCGAGGGTTTGAAGGCCTCCTTCAGTGACAAAAATTAGCAAAAAGTCAAAAACCATCTTAAAGTGATTTTAAACTTGCTTAATAAAAAAGAATAATGAAACATATAACTATTAAAGTATTTATAATTACATTTTTGAAAATAATGTAAGATGCTCTTAAACATACTTGTGCATTTGCATCTTAAAGTAATACCAATTACATAGTTCATCGTAAGGCTGGACAAAAAAAAGGATAAACTGAAAGTCTGAAACCGATCGACCCAATGAAAATTGAACCGATGAAAAGTAAAAGCCGATGAAAACCGACCAAACTGTAGGATTAAGCTTGAAAATCGATTGAACCAACTAGGCCTGGACTCGGTTAGTGACCGGTTCGGGTAGGCCCGACCCGCTGGGTTCCGGTCCGGGCTCGGGCCCCTCAAAACGTGAACCGGCCCGGCCGGTTCGGGCCCGGTCCGGGCCTCTTTTTTTTTGAATTTTTCTTAAGTTTTTGGGTTGGGCTGGGTATTTTGGGTCATTTCAGATGGTTTGGGATGGTTTGGGGGTGAGGGGGGGTTAGGGGTTAATTAGGAAAAGGCAAAAAAAAAAAATTGAACTAAGGCCCGGCCCCCCGGACCCGGGGGTTGCCCGGGCCGGTTCCGGGCCTCCCCTTTCCTGAACCGAGGCCCGGCCAGGCCCGAACCGGCCCGAGTCCACCCCTAGAACCAACCAATAAAATCGACCAAACTTGGCCTAAAACAACTTAACTGATACTGGCTGAAGCTAGACTAGCTAAATGAATCAGCGAATACCCTTCTAGGCCTTTACTAGATCGTCCCTTATTGACATAATTTTTAACACATTACAAATTGCGTGATTGAAGTTTTCCTCCAACTTAACACATTACACACTGTTTGACACTGTTTTGTTTGACAAAAACGGAAATGTGCCTTTTATATTGGGATGGCCCAAAAAGGAAAATGTGCCTTTTATATTGGGACGGAAGGAGTATATCAAATTTTATTATTATTATTATTATCATTATTATTATTATATTATTATTATCATCATCATCATCATCATCATTATCATTATCTTTTATAGGGAAGTGATGTTTCATATAGAAAAATAAAAAGAAAATATATTAATTTGTGTAGTTTAGGATCGTTTTTTACCATGCACAAAATTAATCAAGAGTACTGATAGATTACAACAAAATCACACAAACTCCATCACATTTATTTATATAGTTTTCGCACAAGAATTTATGTTGTTTTAATTTATTTCACATGACATCAATATTGATTATATAAAAATCTGGAGCGCATAGTAAAAAATGATCCTAAACTTCATAAATTCATATATTTTCTTTTTATTTTTCTATATGAAACATTGCTTCCATATAAAAGATAATAAAAAAATTAAATTTTCATATATTTTTTCATCTTTTGTAATAATCGGAATACAAATAAAAAAATATGTGACACTTTAAAATCAGATACGCAGTAATATTTGAAGTGTTAAATGATTTTTTGATTTTATATATTCAATATTGGTGTCATATGAAAGATAATAAAAAGTTATGAATGATGGTATATTTTTTGTTACAATCAAAGTACAAATAAAAAAGTTATATCACTTCAAAGAAAACAGGAGATATTTATTTGTGGTGGGACCCAATATCATTTATGGTTGTCTTAGAAAATCATTTTGTGGCGGCTCTTCAAGTGGCGGCTCTTGTACTGTAAGACAAAAGCCGTCACTTCAAGTGGCGGCTCTCCTTAACCACGGTTAATCCAGCAGTATTTCGGGAATTATTTTTAACCCAACAGTATTCTGAGAATTATTTATTTATTTAGCATTATTCCGGGAAAAAACTCTGAAATTATATCAATCACAAAGTGTATTTTTAAAATAAACGTGAAGAAATATTTTGAATGAATGGAAAAATAAAGTATGTTCTCAAAATGATTTTGTCAAACAAATAATTTATTATTCGTAATTGATTTTAGAAAAATTTATTTATAATGTGATGGCCCGTTTATAAAATGTGTGTACAATGCCAGTTTGACCCTCATAAAGAATTCTGATTTGCGTCTAACCCAACATTATCAGACAATATGTGTCAAACTTTGCAGGATATCACATTCAGGTTAGCTTATGGGGGTTGTTGGTCCATTAATTTTTTAGTAATTAATATTATTATTTCCGAACCTTGAATAACTCTCTTGGTCCAAATACTCCAAAATAACTCATGTTTCAAATGTTTTTTGTTATAAAAAGAAGACATTTGATCAAGTTATCAAACAAGGCAACACACCTCGATCGGTTTAGCCTGTGATGACGAACTAAACTGCAAAGCATAACACCTATAGTAAGATCAGTTTTGGTCAATATTAGTTTTATTCGGTTAAATTTCGCTCAGTTTCTTTTCTTATTCCGAGAGAAAATGTATCACAAACTCACAAAGATTGCATGTTGATAAGAACAGAAAAGTAAAATCAACGGGGTGAACCGTTGCCCAGATAATCAACGATAAATAAATATCGTTGCCCAAAGCCAAAAGGCTAAACCAAACTTTTATTCCCAGATTCTGAAGAATGAAGCATACAAGGAGTATAAATAACCCTCTAGGTCTAATAAGAATAGGAATCCTAAATAAATTAATCTAGGAAACTAAATAGAATAGGAAACCTCTAGTTCTAATAGAACTCCTAATTAAATCATTCTAGGAAACTAAATAGAAATAGGAAACCTCTAATTCTAATAAGAATAGAAGTCCTAAATAAATCCTACTAGGAAACAAATTAAATTAGGAAACAAAATAAAAGGAATAATAAATATTAATTAAACAGCCCGCAACCAGCCCACGAAGGTGGGCTCAAGCCCGTTCCCGCCACATGCTCTTCCCGCTTCATATCAATCCACCCCCCTTAAAATAACCTTGTCCTCAAGGTTGAAAACTCGCTGATTGGGAGCTGAAATTTCCAGACATAGTATAGACTGGAAAATATCCTTCTTCTCCTTCATGAACCCTTTCATGGCCGGTTATTACGCAGAATTCATGCTGCTTGAGGTCCAACTCTTCATCCTCCTCGGCTATCATTACCCGCAGCTGTTTAAAGGGACAATCATGCCCTGGCGTGAATGGTTTCTTGCACCTAAAGCATAATCCTTTTGCCCTCAAATCTGCTAACTCTTTTGGCGCAAGACGGGTGAACTGGGATCGTGTCGTAGGCTGCCCAGACAGCCCTGACTTTGTCCCCGGAGGCTGTCCACTATCCTTCGCAAAGCTGTCCCCTGAGCCCTGTAAGCTGCCACCGGTGGCAGTCAACGGGGGACCCGTGTTTGCCCTTACAAAACTGCTGGAACGTACCCCTGAAGAATGATAATTCAGGCTGCCACTTTCTCCACTTTGGACGGACAGATTATACTCCACTTCGCGAGCTAATTCCATAGCCATCTCCAGGCTGTTTCGCCAAAGTAATCGCAGCGAGCTTCGGATTATCTCCTTAAGCCCACTCATGTAATAGCCCAAGTAATGATCGTCAGTTAATCCGGGTACTTGACTGGCGAGTTGTACAAACAAAGTATTGTAATTTTCCACTTGCCCAATTTGTTTAACGCCAGATAGCCGCTCAAATCTGTTTCCTTGATATCGGGAATCAAATCTAGCCACCAAGGCTTGCTTAAATTCCTCCCAGGATATGCCGGGTTTGCGCGCCTTTAACCATGTCACCCAATAGAGGGCTGCCCCTTCCATAGAAACCCTAGCCGCTGCAATTTGTCTATCCGGTGGGGTCCTGTTGAGCTCGAACTGCTGCTCCACTCTTGCCAGCCACCCAATTGGGTCTTCACCGTCGAATGAGGGAAGCAGTGTCGTGGATGCGCTGCGCGGTCCGCCCTCGTCGGTGAAAGCAGTCGCGATGTGGGCGGAGGAGCCGCTCTCGATGGTCGTGCTTGGAGACTTTGCTGGCGGTACCATGGCCTTTGCGATTGCTGCCAGGGATTCTGCGATTTCCGCAAGCCGGGCGGCCTGCTCCTCCTGTTTCCGAGCCAGTACATCCAGTTTCTCTCCTTGTGAATCGAGCTTTTGATTGACCAGGGCCTGTTCGGCCTCCAATTCCGTCAGTCGTTCGTTCTGAGTTCTTGTCATCTTGGCGGGACGGGGATCCGGCAGGTCGGACCAATTGATAAGAACAGAAAAGTAAAATCAACGGGGTGAACCGTTGCCCAGATAATCAACGATAAATAAATATCGTTGCCCAAAGCCAAAAGGCTAAACCAAACTTTTATTCCCAGATTCTGAAGAATGAAGCATACAAGGAGTATAAATAACCCTCTAGGTCTAATAAGAATAGGAATCCTAAATAAATTAATCTAGGAAACTAAATAGAATAGGAAACCTCTAGTTCTAATAGAACTCCTAATTAAATCATTCTAGGAAACTAAATAGAAATAGGAAACCTCTAATTCTAATAAGAATAGAAGTCCTAAATAAATCCTACTAGGAAACAAATTAAATTAGGAAACAAAATAAAAGGAATAATAAATATTAATTAAACAGCCCGCAACCAGCCCACGAAGGTGGGCTCAAGCCCGTTCCCGCCACATGCTCTTCCCGCTTCATATCACATGTGTAATATGATGGGAAAGAAACAGGACTGCCGTCATTTTTACTATTATGTAAAAATGATTTATTTAGCTACAGCCAGACTGAAAATACTATTGGTAGTCAAGTACAGACCTCAATGTTTCAAATGAAACATACTTTATTTAGTCTATATAATAATGAGGAAAAAGAATCAATATCGTGCCATTCATTATGCATAATTGTCCTCTTCACTTTGAACTTGCCAAGGACTGTGTGATGCTACCCACCATGTCCAATGCCACGCACGGCTGATCCAACGGAACCTAAAAGTAAACCAAAAGAGCGGATCAAACGAAGCCAGGATTATGTACCGGATCACACTCTAGTTTTGATATCTGAGTTTGTATTTTCATCCTTAACGGGTGCCCGACGCCTTTACAATATGAAAGTAATGTGGTAGGACATAGTGATTTTCTAACACTTGTCTACAATGCCTAACCAACTACCTTATTATGAATTTATTAGTAATCTCTTATTATTCGCCTTGCTTATCATGTTATTACTTGTTTTTCTATCGGTACTAGTTGTACGGGCTAATGTTTTGTATAAACACATCAGTACAATGAGTCAATCAATAGTAGTATAGTACAACTTTTACACAACTTACATAGTGGCCAGCTCCAAGAACCCAGTAGAAATGTAAGTTTTTGTAGGACTTGAAAAAACCCCTTGTGGTTTTATCACTCCCACAATAAATTGGGCTTCTTTCCAACCTCAAGAATGCTTCAAGCCCTTCCCATCTGAAATTGGGTAAGTATGATTATTACTATAAAAGCAATTTATATTAAATTATATAGAGTGAACGAGGGAATCAATGTTATCATATCAACAGGATAGGAAACCAAAAATTTGTAAAACGTTCTTACTTGAGCTTTTTTATCCATGCTTCTGTTCCCTTTGTGGCACAGATGACATCAAGCTACACCCACCATTTCCCAAGAATTATGATGACATATCCATGTTTTGACCACTGATACTTAAAGGCTTCAAAATCATTAACTAATATGTAGCCTTACTTGTCCAGAGTACACAGTCACTTGGATTCCTTTAGCCAATAATTGATCGACCTGTTAAAAAAGAATTACAGTATATACCATTTATACCAAAAATATGAAATCAGGTTTAATTAGTACCTCATTGATCCTTGGTATCATGAATTCAGCATACATATTGTCAAACACAAGTTCCGCTTGCTCGCCCCAACTACAAAACACAAACTTTTAATCTTTTATTAGCGCATTATGGGACTAAAAGGCCCAATTATAAGTAAATGCATTACTGTCCTACATCATGTAACATTACTTGCATAGTCCCTTGCATAAGAAAAAGTCCCTTACAGCAAGTAGGACTTCCTGTAAAATAGGGCTCATTAAAACATTATAAGCTTTCTCAAACTACTTGCTCAGCCCCTTTTTAGTTTTCACTTTTCTTGCATATGAAGGAGCCTTCCACAGATGGAGGTAGAGGGCCATGCTAGGTCCCAGCCCATCCCAAATAAATAAATTTAAAAAACAACATTGACTATTAGTGTTAAAAAATTCGTGTAAAATTTTTCCAAAAAAACTTTGCACCAGCTGAACCTACTATATTGCCCTGGCTACGCCCTGGAGCCTTGGAAGAAGTAACATACCTAACATTTTCAGGGATGATTCCCAACTTCTTTTTAATAGCACCATTCATCAACTTACTAAGATCAGCATCACTGCCAGGAGAAAAACTCCGGGACTCCAAGTATCTCGAGTATCGTTTTAATGCCAATTCTTGGGATAGCTCAGAAGCAACAACGGATAGAGGGTCCATATTAGCATCCAACATAAAGTTGTAGAAGTCCTGCATATAATGATGTATAAATGAATAGAATATGCAGGAACGCAGGGAAGTATTATGAAATGACTCTTCCTATTATCAATATATTATTTCATTAGTTTCTTTATTTTAGTATTAGTTGTGTATTAATACTACTACAGTTATATATACTCGTTCAGTTTTAGTCGGCTTATTATTAGCCTTTATGATTAGGGCTTTTTAACTAGCTATATATGGGCATATGGGACATCAGAATAACTCTTGTATGTCTTGAAGCGGCCATACACAGATTAATACCACATTAAGCATTCATCCTAAATGCTCCCTTGTCAAAGCTCACCACTTATGGTTGGTGAAATATGAATGCATTAACAAGTTAACAAGTGAAAAAACTTGTATAAAATGAATATGTACCACTGAATTACTGCTGACACTAATTGCGTTTTCAAGTTCTCCCCACAAATCAGTTGCTTCATCAAACTGACCAGCTCCAAGCTTCTGTTGAATTTTCAGAGCTAGACTGTGTTTGGCATGTAAGCATGTTAGGTATTTGACATTTCAAATTTCCAAAGTTTGATAAATGTTAATATCCGGACCTGTTTGATTGTTCAAGGCCTTTTTCATCAAGTCTTGAAACATCTTTAAGCAGAGGTCCCCATGAAATCTGTAGAATTGTTAATTGGAGTCAAGTATCAAGTAGAACTCAAAAGGAAAATGTGCGGTAAGATTATAGGTAATGTCATACGTAATATTAATTTAACGCCCCGTTTGGAGTGAGTTAATTGGTTAAAATGGCAGAATCTGCTTCAACCAAAAAAATGTTTGGTAATATCATCTTCAGCCCAACAAATTCATCAAAAACTACTTATTCAATTTATTTTCCGAATAAATAGAATAAGCGAATTGATGTTACCAAACAGGGCCTAAATCTCCATGTTCTTTAGTTTAATTAAATTGCATACAACAAAATCTTCCGGTGAGATCCAAGTATTGCCCAATGCAACTCCTGTAATACCACAAAACCAAATACGAGAAGGTGTCAAGCATTTCAACAACAACAACATCCAAGCCTTATTCCCAAAATATTTTGGGCTCGGCTAACATGCATCGATCAATGATATCAGAGCCAAAAAGAGAAAAAATATAAGAAAAAAAGATAAGATAAGATAAGATAAGATGAGATGAGATGAGATGAGATGAGATGAGATGAGATGAGATGAGATGAGATGAGATGAGATGAGATGAGATGAGATGAGATGAGATGAGATGAGATGAGATGAGATGAGATGAGATGAGATGAGATGAGATGAGATGAGATGAGATGAGATGAGATGAGATGAGATGAGATGAGATGAGATGAGATGAGATGAGATGAGATGAGATGAGATGAGATGAGATGAGATGAGATGAGATGAGATGAGATGAGATGAGATGAGATGAGATGAGATGAGATGAGATGAGATGAGATGAGATGAGATGAGATGAGATGAGATGAGATGAGATGAGATGAGATGAGATGAGATGAGATGAGATGAGATGAGATGAGATGAGATGAGATGAGATGAGATGAGATGAGATGAGATGAGATGAGATGAGATGAGATGAGATGAGATGAGATGAGATGAGATGAGATGAGATGAGATGAGATGAGATGAGATGAGATGAGATGAGATGAGATGAGATGAGATAAGATAAGATAAGATAAGATAAGATAAGATAAGATAAGATAAGATAAGATAAGATAAGATAAGATAAGATAAGATAAGATAAGATAAGATAAGATAAGATAAGATAAGATAAGATAAGATAAGATAAGATAAGATAAGATAAGATAAGATAAGATAAGATAAGATAAAATGGACATAATCACATAAGAAAGAAAATTTAAAAAATAAAATAAAAGAACATAATAAAGATAAAAGATAAAAATAACATAAAAACCCAAACCCACATTTATCTTACATTGTGGGACAAAGGTAGTATTTATATGTATAAATACATTAAATACAATATTTTTCGAAAAACATTAAATACAATATTAATAATTTTAATATAGAAATTTATTTTTGGATTGTACTTGAGTTCAGGCATCTTAATAGAGCTCTGTCCTTAAAAAATTAACGAGCCAAACCCAAGCAGAGCTTCAGTAAAAAAATATTAAGCTTGTTCAACCTCAAACTCTAGTCAGTGCATTTTTTCAAGCTCTACTCGGCTCACTTGCCCCCTTGTCTTAAGATTGAGTCCACAAAATTTAGACTAAAGCCGGTTTGGTAGTCAGTTATAGCCTGATCTTTTTGTGTAGTTTATCAATTCAATAATTCTTCCCTCTTGCATGCCTAAATGGATGTTCCCAATGTTTTCCCTTTTAGAAAATTCAGCAGATATAGGTACTTCAGCCAAATGACCCTTATGTCTAAATTCCAATGTCTAAATTCCAATTTTTCATGTTAGGCTCCATTGTTTCAATAACATTAAAGAGATCACCCCAAATAGGAGTAAAAACAATGTGAAATTCCAAAATAAGAGTACTATGTTTTTATTTCCTAAATGAGTAATTAGTGTAATGTGGAAAATACTATCAATTATTTCATTAATATTATCATACTAATGTCTAGAAATGCCAAAATATGGAAGTGGAATTTCGGGATATCGTTAAGTTACTCCTAGTTAGGGGGCGAATACACAGTATTCCCGTTTTGGAATTTCACATTATTAACTCCTATTTTGGGAAACTTCCCAAAATTTTAATGTCAGACTTGAAACATAAATTTGTTATTTTCTAGATTACCGCCAAGTATGAGCTTCAACTTCCCCGCTTCAATGGCTTCTTGAGCTAATAATCCAAGAGTAACCGCAAACTTTCCTCCATATGACTCGGCAACTATGTACAATGGGCTTTTCTGTAAACCCATGCTACCATTGAAAACTTCAATCAACAATGTAGTCACATCAGCTGCAGCTTCCCAATCAGTCTTTACCAATTGCTTGGTATCCTCCACATAACTGTATCCTGTTCCAACTGGGCAATCCTATAATGTATAAAAACGTGAAAATTTTAAAACTGCAATAATAGGGAAATACTTCACTGAATAATTAAAAGAAAATCAAAGCTGGTCAATTTCCAATTCTTCAAAAACACCTACAAGAATATCATAAGTGCAAGACAATTACCACAAATAGAAGATCAGCTTTCTTTAACCATGTTGAGTTTCTAGGCTTCTCATTAATATCCAGAGGACCAATTTCCTCAAAGTTCCCAATTCCAACTCCTGAAGCCCCCTATTCACATTTCAATTTAAACAACTCAAAGAACAAATCCACCAATACAGAATTCTCCATAGTAGTAGTAGTAGCACATAAAAAGGCACTGCACAGAAGTTGCATATGAATATACCAGCTGTCTCTCCGATGTGGAAGACATTATTATTGGCAAGAAGCAAAACTGGAGGTCATTGTTTGAATGGGTTATCGGGGAGGGTAAAGTTGAGTTTTGGAGAGGTAACTGATCTGGATCATGTCCTCTTCAATGGTAAACCTTGAGAGGACTGATAGGAGACTTTGATTAAGTTCACTCATCGTGATCAATGGACTACTTCTAAATTGAAGCCTTGATTTATCACAAAAATGTTGAAAAAATCATCAAGGTTCCTCTTGCTCTTAATCACAATGATATTCCTAGCTGGAGTCTGAGCCAAGCCAGGTAGGATTTACACTAGGCTATGGTAGGCTCTTCAATTTTTTTAGTGTGAACTTTTCCCTTTTCCCCATTTAGGTCACCCCTTTATTGGTTTAAGGGCCTGTTTACTTTCCACTTAATGGGCTGAATAGAACTAGTGACTTAATCATTCAGTTATATAGTAGTGTTTACTTACAACTTAATTTTTAATGCGACTTATTCGCTCAGTCAAGTTGTCACTTATTCACTCAGCTCCGTTTTAACACTCCTTCGCATTCAGACGTGTTTGAGTTGAACGATAGCCATCTTTAACCCTGCCTTCTCCTTCAAAAATTTCTTCTCAGCGGCTACAAACCAGTGAAAATCGCCGGCTCACAGCAACTTGCGAGATGCCACTGCTCCCAACAACTTGTATCAAGAAATCAACGAAGAGAAGTCTCGAACCTGCCCTTTTCATCTAGGTATTTCATTTGATTGTATATTTTTTATTCTCTCTTTCTCTCCTTATCTTCGATCTGACACTGGCTTTCTAAACAATCCATATATTTCTGGTAAAATCACTATATTGTAATTGTTTGGTAAAATTTCTGAAGTTCAACTTAATTTAGATATGCCATAATACTTCTTCCTCTTCTCCTTTTAGACAGCAAGAAGAAGAAAAGTGAAGACGAAAAAAGAAAGCTCAACGATTGAATTATGCCCAAGGCAGAGGATATTTGTTCTTGGGATATTGATACACCATCTATTTTCATGATTTCTTTTTATTATTGTTGGAATACACAGTGAGTTCTTGTCTTCCAAACACTGTTAATTGTTGATTCATTGTTTATTGTTTTTCCCAGGGCAGATTTCATTTGTAGTTAACGTAAGTAATAATTGCAATTTTTTGTGGCCAGTGCTATTATTATTTATAAACCTGTCATCATTTTATCTGTTTGCAATTCGTAGCCTGGAGAAAAAATAGATACGTAGTAGAACGCAATGGGGAACAAACATCACAGAGTAAAAGACAAGACAAATTTATGAGATGATATTGCTAATGATCATCACTTGTAATAGCCAGAAGGGTAAATTGGGAATTTAATACAATTCAGACTATACATTCAGCACACATAGTAAACAGCTTGTTATCTGAGTGTCACTTAATTCAGACAGAACTCTACGTCTTAATCCAGACAGGACTTAATGAAAATAAAAGTAAACAGCCTCTAAGTCTAGTGTCACACTCTTCATCTCATCTCAACTCTAATTTCTGGATCCCCAGCACCCGGCTGCACCAACGCAGTTGTAAATTGTACATTCAAGCTAGTTTCATTTCTTAGGAGTCCAATTGGGGAGCTTGCTAGGTTCAAAATGACCAGGTTTTTACACAACTTTACATGATTCTTTAAAATACACAAATATGTACAAAAAACTTATACACATAACATTAAATCAGGTAACCACTAACTACATTGCACTTTTTTCCAGATATAGCAATTTGGGACAGAGCTATACTTACAGGACCTCCCTGCAACCAAAGGATAATTGGCCATGACTGGTTCGGACCCCCAGCTCTGGATGGGCTTCTGTAGAGCCACCAGAACATGCGAGCTTCTGTTTTCACACATATTTCCAATATGAAAAGTAAAAGGAAAGATTTCAGCATATATTTCCAAGAATAACCAACTGAAAATGGAAGAAAGAAATGGTTTTACTTGGTCTGACTTCAACATATCCCCAAGATTCTGATCCATCTTGGGATGTTACAGCTATGGAATTTCCATTAAAGAACCACAAGCAGAAAAGTATAGAAGCAATTAGAAGATGAAACTTATTCATCTCCTGGGCCGGAACAAGTTGAACTTCTTAGTTCCCAGAGCAACTCCACAACTTACGATTGAGATAGCGTCTGAACTAAAGAGTGGAAGTTACCAACCTTTCTCCGACAATAAATATTAGCCGGAACGTTAGTTTCGAGGTCAATTTCTTTTAAACGATTCTTAATTGCGTTTTTTCGTACTTCTAATCTTTTTTTTAATACCCCCGTCCCACTAACAATCGGATAAGAGGGAGTGACACACAAATTAATAAAAAATGATTTATGTGGTTGATATTGAATTGATAAAATAATAATAAAGTAAGAATGATTTAGAGTCACACAAACCTTATCAAATTTGGTATGAAAAATTTTAGTGAAATGGAGCGAAAAAGTAAAATCGGACAATCTTAGCGAGGATGGAGAAAGTATAAGAGCCCGTTTGGTAGCACGAAAATCAGCTGTTTTGGCTGATCCACTGAAATTTATGAAGTTCTGGATGAAGTGGTTGTTTTGGCTAATTCTGCTGATTTAAGAAAAAATTATTTTTGAAATATATTCTATTAATAAAATAAAGAAAAAATTATATGTAAAAATAGCTAAAATAGTCATCTACAGTAACTTCAGCCAATACAGTCAAAAAAGTAACTTCAACCTTACTTTTTCTGCTTATTACATAATTCAGCGCGTGAAAGCAAAAGTTACGTGTTTGGTGAAAAAGTTGACTGATAAGTCTGATAAACCGAAAAACAGTGTTACCAAACGGCCTCTAAGAATACTTTTGTCATGTCATCTCCCATGAAAACATAATTGTCATATCTACCACTTTTGGCTTAGACCATCTCCTTTTATGTTCTTTTAAATAAACGTTTTTCTATTATACATCCTTGTCATTGAATTTTAATAATACCTAGGGTAATTATGTCACGCCCCAGACCGCAATCCAAGCGCGTGTACAACCGCCGTATAACTAAGTGACGTCACCCACGAGTCAACCTCACTTAATTACACAAGGCGTTCGAGAAAACAATCCATCCATACTCAGTAGTAAACATACATAACAACATCACATTTAGACCAATGAATAGCGGAAATATTCAACGGTAAGTCATGAGCCACAACCGGCCAATAACATGGGCGTGCAAGCCCCAAAAATAGTTTATAGTAAAATAAACATCCATGAGCAAGTGTGCGGTAGTTTGAAAGAAAATAAGGAAGCACGAACCACGTCTTCCTGATTTGATACCACCCTCGAGAAGGTGCAAGTAGCAAGCCCTAGCTTCAACCTGAAAATGGTGGGGCCCCCCCGAAGGGGTCAGTACAAGTACCGAGCGAGTAGCAGGCTAAATAAAGAATAACTAGCGTTTCAAGTATAAGACCCAATCATAGGGTGATACATATACGTATAGTCCTTTCCCCAAGTTCGAAATACATATTAGTATACATACACTTCGAAATACCCGACCCGTAGGTCATTGTTTATTTGGGAAAATAATAGTAGCCAATATCCTTGACTTAAATCCCAACCCACCCATATGCCTATGAGTGTATAGAACTCCTCCTTGTTCAAGTAAATTATCATAAGGACACCGCTCGGTCCTAGATCATTAAATGTAGTCTATGAGTTTTGAGGATACACACCCGATCCTTGGGTACTCCACCCTATAACCGAGTTTTGAGGATAACCGTCCGATCCTTGGGTACTCCACCCTATATAACCGAGTTTTGAGGATAACCGCCCGATCCTTGGGTACTCCACCCTATATAACCGAGTTTTGAGGATAACCGCCCGATCCTTGGGTACTCCACCCGACCTATGACTTACCACATATCACACTAGATAGGGACTATATCATATTTAGTCATTCATAACTAATTCAATACATAAAACTTATGTATCACATTCCATGCAAAGCCATGAAATTATGTAAATGCATAATTAATTAATACCAATTGATATTAATTAATCCATTATCCATCGGTCAACGTTGTTGTTGACCGCCATCTCAAATCTTACACTTATTAACTAAATCATCATATAATTAAGTTAATAATACTCATTTGTGCTTCTTTTACACTTCAAGCTAATACGCATTTTATATAATTCCTCATATCATATTTCATGTATAAACAATTAATTCCTTTCACAAGTTCCTAACAAGGTTTTATAATCATAAAACCCATATTAATACAAAAACCTCAAAAAGGTTATTTTCCGGTGAACCCGGTCGGTTTGGCTTCTAAGTCCGTTCTTGGACATAGAATCACTTTCCAACCCATAAACCCATACTTATAACATGTAGAACCCCCTCAAGGATCCTTCACATGATATATATCTTATATGGTAGAAGAAAAATAAAGGAAAAGCTATAATAAGGTCATTACCTTAATTTTACACTCTTTTCCTCACTTTTTCCCTTCTTTAATTCCCCTCCTTGGACCACTCTTGCTTGAGCTCGAGTTGCACCAATGGAGAAAGGTTGGAGAGCTTTTTCTTCCTCCTCCTTTGGTAGCGAGGCCGAAATAATGCATAGGGGAGAGGTTGGGGTGTCCTTTTTGTCTCCTTTGGCAAATGAGTGAGGTCAAAGGGCCCCTTGCACCTTCCTCCACTCAATCTCTTGTCAACCTAGGCCTTTCCTTGTCTTTCCAGCACAAAAAAAAACGTGGGATGGCCCCCACTCATGTGGGAGGTCATCCCTTTGTGTCCCGATGTGTACAATCGGTCCCGAAAGTTGTATTTTTCGGACTGTTTTAATCATAATTTATTTTATCGGGTAAAATAAAATATATTATGTGTTCCCAATCATAACGCCCCTTTGAAATAATATATATTCCAAAACTTTAATTTGGAAGTCTCCGAAATTCATTTCTGGCTGTTATCTGTTAAATTACCAGTACCGGTAATTTGGGCTTCTTTTGACCAATCGGTCAACTCCGGGTCTTTCCATGGCCCAAATGAAATATCCACCACTATATATTTATTATCTAGACCAAAATGAATAAAATATATAGTCTCGGGGATGTCGGGCGGCCCCCGCTCTCGGTGTGGGTCCCACGTGCAATTTACTATTCACGCGAAAGAAATAATAAAAATTTACAACTTCGTAAATTCATTAATCCTTTAATAAGGTTCAATACATTATTTACATAAAAGTAAATATATTTGGGGACGGTGTTACAAATTATCTCAATTAGGAAAATTTCTAGGATATGACTAAAAGTCAATGAGTTTCTCAATCTATGACCTAACTAGTTTTTAGACTTTTGTATGACTGAAAATCCAAAAAAAATAAAGAAAATTCGTTTATATCTAAAGGTTGATTGACAAAAATACCCTTATTTAAAATATGTACATTTTTCACTAATTTCGTCCAATTAAAATTAGTGCACTTTATATTGTCGTTACTGCACAAAATTAATGCACGTCTTTACTGCACATCCGGTAATATTCACTGCACTTCCGCCAAAATTAATTCTCTTCTCATTCACTTGAGGAATTTATTTTTGTTTTATTATTTGTTTTTCTAGATTTAATAATTTTATTATTTTACGTCTAATTAATTATATTGCATTTCATGATGATATCACTGCTTTGTGTTACTCAATACGGTCATAATTAATACACAACCAAATTTCTTAATGCATTCATTCACTGCCATGTTCAATATGTCTATCATATATATTCATTGTCCATACTCAACACTTATTGAAATGTTCATTGACGTGTGGCGGCTGCTGGCGGAGGCTGGACGATGTGCGGTGGTGGCTGGACGACATGCGGCTGCAGCTGGATGACGGGGCGGCTGCAAAGGGGGTGTTGGGTGGTTGTAGCTTGGGTTGTGAAAAATGGGTAGAAGGTTAGCGTTTTATAATTAAAGTATAAGCAAAAGGGTATATTTGACCATAAAAATTAGTTATTAATTACGAATTTTAATTAAAAATAAAGAATTATAATACTACATCCGTTCCGATGGACTTTGCCAAGTGCAAAGTAGGTGAGAAATAAGAACAGTAAAAACTGTATGATTGATATTTTTGCAGAAGGAAGAGAAATGTGCAGAACCAAAAATTAGTTGCTTTAATAGGAAAGTCGTAAAGTTTTTTTGGACAACCAAAAAGGTAAAATTGGCAAAATCCAATGGGACGGAGGGAGTATTATTTTGAGAAAAAACTAATTAGGTCATAGATTGGAACCTCATTGAGTTTTAATAATACCTAGGGCAATTATCTCAATTTAAAACTCTTCATCATCAATGATATTCAAATAATTATTTTCTGAAAAAAGTGTCATATAAATCACTTTACTAATGAAGAATCTATCGTATAAATGCAAATAAAAAAGGCTAAAGAGTCAAATAGGCCCTTGAACTGACTTAAAATGTTCAATTAGCCCCTTATATAATAGGTTCTCTCCGGCCGTCGCTAATTGGGGCGGTTCCCGGTGGAATTTTTTGATGAAATTTTTTGAGCATCTTCTTCATTAAGTCTGGTTTACCCATACCAAATTTCAGCTAAAAATTCAACCGGGAAGACACTCAAATGATTTTCCGAAATGTACTGCGCTGTTTAACTTCGCAGTTATCTTCAAAAAATCATTTGACTGTCTTCCCGATTGAATTTTTAGCTGAAATTTGGTATGAGTAAACTAGACTTAATGAAGAAGATGCTTAAAAAAATTCATCAAAAAATTCCACCGGGAACCGCCCCAATTGGCAACGGACGGGCAGAACCTCCTATATAAGGGACTAATTGAACACTTAAGTCAGTTCAAGAGCTTATTTGACCTTGCCAATAAAAAAATAAGTATCGTACAGACTTGCTCACAATAAATAAGAAATAATAACATAAATATGACCAAAATAAAGATGGTTTACAAAAATATGATTCATTACTAGAGTAGTAATGAAATCATAGTAATTCATGTTCAAGTTTTGAACTTTAGTTACCACAGCACTACGTTGTAGTAATGAATAGTCATATTTATGTAAATAAGTTTTATTTTAGTAATATTCTCGTAAAAAACCCAAATAGTGATCGATTAAGCAAATGTGATCTCAGAAGACTTGTCGCTGCAGGTAAAGCTACACTTACTTACCCGTCAATGTGAGTACATGTTTTCTTTCTTTTTTTATTTTTAGGAACATACGTGTTAGTTTTTTGTCGTGCTTTCCATTTCTCTTTTCTTTTCTATGCATGCTCCTCCATATATTTCCTTAACCAAATGATATGGAAGTTTAACCGTCCGTTTGGTAACACTGAAATCAGTTGAATCGGATTCTTTTGCTGATATATATGAAGTTCTGGCTAAAGTGCTGTATTGGCTGATTCTTCTGATTTATAAAAAAAAAATATATAAAACATTTTATTAATAAAATAAAGAAAAAATTATACTCCGTATATAAAATAGCTAAAATGATCCTCTACAGTAACTTCAGCCAATAGAACCAGAAAATTAACGTAACTCCAACCTTTATTTTTATTACTATTACACAATTCAGTGTAAGGTGAGATTATTCTTATCAATTTTTCCTATATTATTTTATGTGGATTCTTAAAATTTTGTATAAGCAAGTAAAGAAAAAAGTTAATTCACTCGAGAAATAACTTTTTATTTCTCATAAAAAGTTGGAGAGGAGAAAAGTTAATTTTTCTCATAAAAAGTTAATACTTATTATTTTGATGGAGAGGAGAAAATAATTGAAGAAAAAAAGAGAAATAAATAATATACTTGGATCAGTGGGGGGCTTGAGGGAAAAGAAAGAAACATCCTAATGCTCCAAGCTCGAAAGAAAAACGGTACCCCATTTGGTACCGATATACCATGCACATGGTATACTGGTATCACGGTATAATTTGTTGGTTCTATCCTTCAAAAATCAACGTGTTGACCGTGTTGCTCCTAAGTTGACCTCGTTGATCATCTAGCTCCGAGAATTGACTTGCAGAATGATCACTAAAAAGAACTAAAAATATATTAGTGGCTCGAGATGCGTCAGACGCTGTCCTAAGGAATTATTTCCGGCGTACGGAAATTTCCCCCAAGATATAACGAGCCCTTCGGTTATAAAACTGGTACCAGAACTAACGAGAAGAAATTAGTATATGAACCCAGCAATAAGAGTAAGTTTTGTATAACCGATTTTAAGTTAAATAATTTCCAGGACAACCCATTATGTTGTTCTCCTTTTTCATTCTCACGGCCAAAAGCATCATTAAGATACACAACTAGTACATAAGTTAAGTTGTGCAGTCCCTCCATTTTCTTATCTCTTAAAAAACCGATGCTTCCATTATACGAAGTATATTTATACACGCATGCATCATAATGATAGCCAAAAGACAACAAACCATTTTAACACAATTTAATATAGTAATTAATAATATTAAGAGTTCCCACTAAGGCAAGCAGTAATGTTATTGACTGGCCAGGTTCGAACGTTTTAGCAAACCAAATTAATAATAATAACTTCAGTGTTTTGTACTCGTATTAAAGAGGAAATGCACTCGACAACCAAAAACGCCCCAATAAAGGATAAAATTTAATTTTGACCGTATGAAATGGCATTTTGATTTATGATAAAATTTCTCACAAAAATTAAGTGAATACTTGCGATGGAGTATATGGCCCAGGAACCCCCGGCCCACAGACTCCTACTTCTCCTACGCAGGCCCAATGAGCCCAAGGAGCATTCAAGGCCCAAACACAACAGTCCAGGTGTCAAGAAGCCCACTACGCCCGTATAGGTGCCTTCGGCCTCCTTGGCCGAAGGCTCCAAATCTCACAGGACAGGCAGATTTGAGCATACAAAGTTAGTGGGAGAAAATGGCAGAATTCAAGAGCCTTCGGCACTTTCGTGCCCTCGGCTACACGGAGCCCTCGGCCGCGAGCAGAGCCTTCGGCCAACAGCTCAATCCTCGAAGATTCCCTTTGGAGACAAGCAACCACCGCATTTAATGCGGCGTCACATCCACCCACCGCATTCAATGCGGTGCACATGCGAATGTCAGTGCCACCCGATTGAGGTGACCCCTCGGCCGTTAGATTATCGCCATGTGTACTCTCATCGCATTTATTGCTGCTATAAATAACACCCCCTTTTCCCATTGTAAAGGACCAGAACATCTCGAGTTCATTAATACAATTGCCTCTCTCTCTCTCTCCTACTTGTTTGCTCTGACTTCTCTCTAGGTTATCCTCGCAATAACCCCTCGGATAAGCTACCCCCTGGGTACACTATCCATCAACTTGTTCATTTGAAATACCTCAATATTTCCAACAATCCCCCACATATTTCAAATGAATAAGTTTTAATATTTAAAATTAGCAATTCCTTAATGGGTTCATATATGGGGTGAAGTTTTTCAATCTGGTGTCCGTAGACTTGAACCAGACCTAAACACCTAAGTCTTTAAATACCGAGTTTATTGGTGAAGCGTATAGTTTCTATGAACCAATAATCTACTTTGGTAAGTCAGTGTCTTAGGGGATCATTTTTCACCCTCACCTTTCTCGTCGTTAACGCCGTTGTGCGCCTCTAGGCCGTGCGCGTGCTTGGTTTTCTTGA